GCGCGGGGCGAGCCATGCTGGCAGTGGCGGCGCTCTACGCGCTGTGCTGGGGCCCGCACCACGCGCTCATCCTCTGCTTCTGGTACGGCCGCTTCGCCTTCAGCCCGGCCACCTACGCCTGCCGCCTGGCCTCCCACTGCCTCGCCTACGCCAACTCCTGCCTCAACCCGCTAGTCTACTCGCTCGCTTCGCGACACTTCCGCGCGCGCTTCCGCCGCCTCTGGCCCTGCGGCCGCCGCCGCCACCGCCACCACCGTGCTCATCGCGCCCTCCGTCGTGTCCAGCCAGCGTCTTCGGGGCCCGCAGGTTACCCCGGCGACGCCAGGCCTCGCGGTTGGAGTATGGAACCCAGAAGGGATGCCCTGCGCGCTGGAGCGACTGGACTAGCCCTGTCTGCCCGGGGAGCGCAGTAAACCCCGCCAGCCTGGACTCTGCGGGCCGTCTGTCCTCTTCCCTGGGTGGCACAGTGTCACCGAGGAGCCCTCTAGAGGGCCTGGCTCCACCGCAGAGCAGAGGCAGAGTTGCAGCTCCAATCCAAAGGACACCTGGGTGGTTAAATTTGGCCCACCCAACCAGACAACAGTGTCCCAAAGCAGGCAGCCTCAGCCCCTATCCAAAGCCAGTCTGGCAGGAGAATAGCCCATTCACCCAGCCTGCACCTTCCAGGCCCTGTTTTCTTCTACTACCTCTGACTGTCCCTTTTTGCTCCCAAGCCATAACCTAGGTTTTTTGTTTTGTTTCATTGTTTTGAGAGAGAGAGACAGAGACAGAGACTGATTCAATTCGTCTAGGCTGTCCTGGAACTGCCTACTGTAGCCAAGGATGATCTTCGACTCTTTATTTTCCTGCCTCTCTGACCCACGTACTGGGCTGACAGGCACCCCAGACTCCGGGCTTGTTCAAGCAAGGACTAACAAGTCTTTCCTTGGCTACTATGTAACCTCACAGAATGCTATATTTAATTATCAAGACAGCATTGTAAGGTAGGGTAGATATGATTAACCTTATTTTACAGACATAGAAATCAAGGACCAGAGAGGTCATATAGGGAGAGGCTAGATCCAAATCCATGGCTGCCTAACATTTGTTACTCAGTGGCCTTTTTTTGCTTCCTTAAGGCTTCCATTTGTTTTTTGTTTGTTTATTTGGTCTTTCGAGACAGGGTTTCTCTGTGTAGGTTTGGAGCCTGCCCTGGCACTCTCTCTGTAGACTAGGCTGGCCTCGAACTCACAGAGATCGACCTGCCCCTGCCTCCCAAGTGCTGGGGTTAAAGGCGTGTGCCACCACCACCCAGCTGACCGCTGCTTCACTTTTGTCTTTTGTTTGTTTTTGAAGCCTTTGTAAATGGTAGGCGAGTGCTGTACTTCTGAACTATATTCCCAGCCTGGGTTTGCTCTTGTTTTACTTCTAACGTGTAGCTCTTCTGCTCCACACGTCTGATTCTGTGTTCTAGAAGCTTCAGAGCTCCCAGGCACTTACTTTCAGAATTCTGCTTGGCTACTGAGGCGTGGGCTTCCTGTTAGTCAGGCAGTCTTGAGGTGAGTTCCCTAGCCCAGGCACCTTGCGTCATTCCCTTAGCTTCTTGGTGTTCCTGACTCAGAAGAGACACTCAACCTCGCTTGGCCACAGCTGGCCTCTTAAGGGCTCTGGTTGTCCTCCCCCTCCCGATTACCACACACAGCTGAGGAAGCCTGCGGCTGTGGAAAAGCCTAATTAACCAATAAATCAGTCTTGTAGGATCCCACGCTGCCTGCTTCTGCCCTCCCTTTCTACACATCAATAATGTTGATTAACTTCAGGCCCTAACACCGCCTGTCTGCTGCACAGAGCACCCTGGGAAGGGCTCTCCCCGTCAGGAGGCAGCTACCTAGCAGTCGTTGCTGCCTGCCACCTGCTGCTGACACAGAAGCCAGAGTAGCAGGAGGAAGCTGAGACCAGCCAGAGAAGTGGCTGCCTCCAGGACCCAGTCAGGCCCTAACACCGGGCCTCGTGTTTTCTCCCATGATTCTTCCAAGAATCCGGGCTCAGTGAGGAAGTTCCCTGAAGGCAGGGAATATGTTGTTGCCTCTGCATAGTACCCATGGTGGCTGTCACCACTTCTGTGCCTCACCGACACTGGTGGGCAAGGGGTAGTGCTCTATTTTCAGAGGAAAGCAAAGGGTAGTGGTTCACTGGACGCAGGGAGGCAGATGACATGACAGGGACAAACATGGGTGGCAGACAGTGTTCTCACTTAAGTGTGGAAACACCCCAAGTATCAGCCCCTGAATGGAATATGGAACCCATACACTGAAATATCATTCCATATATAAATAGAAATATAAGCCACAGAAGACAGGTCTTGAAAGTAGGCAATGAGACATAGATTGTATACCTCTGTTTACATAAAGTTCCTGAAATCAGCAAAATTATAAGAACAAAGCACAGCTTATTGTTTGCTTAGGTCTGGGGGTGGTGGGGAGAAGGGAATGAGAAAGCTCATAGGTGCTGAGTTTCTTCCGGGCTTGATGAAAAGGTTCTAAAATTAGATCACTAGGGCTGTCTGCAGCTCAGCTGGTGGAACACTTGTTTGATGAGCAGAAAGCTCTGGGTTCAGCCAAGCTTTGAGTTCAGTCCCCAGGAGGTGGTAGCCCACGCACGACTGTAATCTCAGCACTTGGGAAATGGATGCAGGAGAATCGGAAGCTCATGATCAATGGGACAGATGTGGAGTGTGTGCCTTTAATCCTAGCCAAGGGGAGGCATGCACCTCCCCTTTGTGATGTTGAGGCTGACTTGGTCTATATAGTGAGTTACAGGCTAACTAGGGTGATGTAACAACCTTTCTCAAAAGAAAAACAAAAAAGTTCAGCCTTACCTGTGGAGCAAGTGGCAGAAAAGATGACTCATCAGATAAAGGAGCCGGCTGTCAGGCCTGACAACCTGAGTTTGAGTCCCCAGACCCCACACTGTGGAAGGAGAAAAGAGAGAATCTGCTCCTACAAGTTGTCCTGACTTCACATGTGTGTTGGCACGTTTGAACATGGACACACTCTCCCTACACATACACTCATACAGATACATAACTTGTTAAAGCAAAAATAAGTGGGATGTTCTGGTGTACGGCTTTAATCCCATCCTTCAGGAGACAGAGGTAAGTAGATCTCTCTGATTTTGAGGCTAGTCTGGTCTACGTAGCAAGACCAGCTGGGCTATACAGAGAGATCCTGCCTCAAAAGGCCAAAGTAAAATACAAGTAGATCATCATCATACTGGGCAACCACGAGACATGCCAACACCACTGAAGTGTGCAGATTAAGTGGATGCAATTGTCATGTAAATCATATTTTAATAAGTGCATTTGAAATATAAAACTAAAGTGGGTCTGGGATCCACAACGGACCCAGGGGACATTTTCAGGGCAACCTAGCATCTTTGGGTAGATACAGAAGGGTGGCTGGCAAGGCTGTCAGAGACAGTGCACATCTGCAAAGTAGGAATGGAGACAGACAACCCCCAGGTTGGCTTAGAGGAAGTGAGTCTAGCCACCCAGTAGTCCTCTGTAGGTCCAGGCAGGTGACCCAACTAGAACCTCTGTGGACCAGAGAAGATGATGGTCTCTGGGTCCCTTCCCAGTGGCCTGAGACTCTGCTCAACCAGTAGAGGACCAGAGACCTCCTGCTTTTGAAGCAGGACTCTGGCTCAGTGCAACCAGACAGGGACTTATGGGCAGTCTAAGGGAAGGAAGCCCAGGAAACTGGACATTGTGTGGCCAGGCAGTGGGTGGATACTTGTATGTAATACGGGAGGACACGGTACCAGGGGAGAAAAGGTGGACCTGAAATGACCCAGAGAGGAAAGCTCCTGCCACCTGGGCAATGCAAACAAGAATTCCAGAGAGAACTCTGGGAATGTTTGCACATGTCCATTTGTGTGTGCATGGTGTGTAAGCCAGAGGTCCAAACTGGGTATCTTTCAAAAGTGATCTCTACCTTATTTTCTCTCACTGAATCTGAAGCTCCCCAACTGGGCCAGAAAAATCCCTGGCCTTCTCTTGTCCCAGCTTCCTTGGCTCTAGGATTGCAGACATGGCAGGTAGGGTCTCACTATGTAGCCCTGATCAGCCTGAAATTCGCAGAGATCTGGCCTGCCTCTGCCTCCCAAATGCTGGGATTAAAGGCGTGTGTGGGCCAGCTGTGGCTTTTTTACATTGTAGCTGGAGATTAAACTAAGGTCCTCAGGCTGCAAACCCAAACTGTCACCCTGCTGTGCAGCCTGGTTGACCTGGTACACTTATAGTATAGCCCAGGCTGGCCCCAAGGTCACAGCACTTCTGCTTGTCTCCTGAGTACTGGGGTTACAGGCCTGCATCACCATGCCTGACTCCTGAGGTGACTTGTAAAGGTGTGCTTTTTTTTCTCGGAGGAAGGCAACCCACACAGGTAGGGATGAGGAGCCGAAAGCAAGCTTGCACTGCTCATGAGAAGGAGGGGTAAGCTCTGTGGAGACAGCAGGATATGCATCTCTCAGGCAGACCAGGTTGGGCAAATAATGGTTTCCAGAAAAGAAGAGGTGAAGAAGTAAGACTCCCTCTGAGGCGTTACTCAGAAAGTGCCAGGGTTGCATGCACAGGAAAGGTGCATGCATGAGGAAAGCCCTCAAGGCCTGGACCAGAGCTAGAAAATGTTTTTTGCACAGACATGACAGAAAGATTGATGGCCTGCTGCTAGGTTTAGTCTTGGCTTCCAGGCCTCAGGGGTCTATTTCAGGGACTAACGAAGTACTCGGGGGGAGCAGGTGGTTGCAGTAATTTGGTTAGGAGAGAACTGTGTGTCCTGTGGAGCCCAAGGCAGGCAGTAGGGGCTGGAGTGGAGGCTGAGTGTAACCAGGATGCTGCCCTCTGAGCCCAGGAGAGGTCACCTGACCCAAGGCCCCAGCAACACTCAGGCCAAGGCTGGGGTAGTCTCAGTGGGAAGGCCTTCCTAGCTGGAGCAAGGTTTAGATTCTGCAGCTCTTGCCTCCTAGTTGGTGAAGTCTTTTGAAGTCTTTTTGATTTTGGTCTTTTTTTTTTTTTTTTTTTTGAGACATGGTCTCACCAGGTACACCAGGCTGGCCTTGAACTCACAGAGACTCACTTCTGTCTCCTGAGTGCTGGGATGAGAGGCGTGTGCCACCATGGTCAGATGGTACAAAGCACACATAAGGAGCAGTGTGTATTCACACTTGAGCACACCTGCCAGGTGCAGTAGGAACGAGAGCTGGGGCTGGGGAGCCCAGTGAAGGGTTCATCAGAGGGTGGACTCCCAGAAAAGGCTTCCTGGAGACGCTGTGCCCAAGGTCAGTCATTAAATGTGGATTCACTATGGCTCAAAGAGGGAGGCCTGAAAGACCATTTGCAGGGGCTCCTGATGGCAGGGACCTCTGATGGCACGGGGTGCCCTCAGGAAGGGAGGCGAGCATGATGGGGACCTTGTGAAGAAGGCTCTAGATTTCATCTGAACTGAGGACTGGATCCTCCTGAAGGCAATGAGGAGCCTCTGCTCTGGTTCTGAAACCAGAGCAATTTGATGAGGTTTCAGGAGCTTTCTGTTGCTGCCAACATTGGCTTTTGTGTGGTGGAAGACCAAAGAGAGACAGGAGCAAGGACACCGGTCAGGCTAGTGAAAATCCAGACAGATGAAGACATTGAAGACATTCAGGACAAAGACAGTGGGGGACTCGCTGTCGACCACGTGGGAAGAGCAATTGTCAGGGTTGATGATGGCTGAAAAGGAAGAAAGAGGTACCTCAGAAGACACCCAGGCTCCTAGCAGTGGGGACATTGAGGGGACAGATTCGGGGCAGGTGATGACGTATTAAACTGAGGGACCTAGGTGGTGTGGGCTGCAGGGTTCTCAGGGAGATGGAGCGCCAGCACACCTGCCACATTTTATTTAGTTCTTGTGTTTGGCTCTGGAGCTTACGTCTGTCTCATCTGCTTTAGTTGGAAGATGAAGACGTGAGACCAGAAAGGTTGAGTACTTGCCCTGGACCACAGAGCTCAGGTTTGTCTGATTTGGTTTCATGGAGTCAGCGAAGCGGTAAGACAGAGCCGATTGGAGTGGGATGAACTAGAATGTGCAAAGGAGATGGCCT